CCTGCCTCAAAAAACCAAATATATATATACAGACACACACACAGAGATGTTTAATGTGGTGCAAAATAATGAATTTCTACTCCAAGACCGATTTTCCATAAAAAGGGTACCTGGGCAGAAAAATCACAGAGAGGGTTGGAGCCCTACAGTGGACATGTAGAAAAACAGCATTCCCCTCAACAGAGGGTGGCACAGTGCCCTATTCCCTCCCAAGGTGAGTTCTATAAAGCTCTATCAGGACACTATTCTTGAGCTATCTCTTGCACCTTGGTTTGGATGCTGCTCACCTACTACAGGTCCTCAGACAGTCACCCAAAGCTTGAGATCAGAGACAACAGTTAGGGTAGTGACTAGAGGAGGACAGTAACTACAATGCATACTGACCACACTTGAATCTCTTACTCCTCATCAAAAAGTTTTTCCCAAGCTATGTAACAGAAAATGACCAAAATAATACCAAGAGAATAAAAAGAAAAGGGAAATGCCACTCAAATGCATGGTAGGTGCCAACAGTCACATTAGAGACATTATGTATTTTATTTAATGTGGCTTTTACAAGAACTAAGAGATGGGTATCACATTCTCCATCTCCTAGACGAGAAAACTGAGTAACTCACTGAAGATCACTCGGCTAATAGTAAGCAAAGGTTTGAACTCCTGAGTCTGACAGCAGAGCCCAAACTCCTCTGCCTCAGAAAGCACTCAGCTACATACGGCAATGGGAGGGAGAGGAGAAGGACCTTGCCAGGAGTGAAACTGCCAAGGTTTCCAGTGGCTGGCAACCTCTTCACCAGGTATTTTGACAATGCAGAGACATAAGTCCAGGAAAAAGAAAAAAAAAAAGGAGGAGGAAAAGAAAAAGAAGTAAAAGCCCAGGGCAGCACTGTGTGGAGGGAGCTTCTTGGCCCTGTGCCCCCAGCCTACTGCCTACCGCTCCTAAAACGGCCCCTCGCACCAGTGTGTAACCACTGTGAAGGCAGCAAACAGAACCAAGTCTCCCACCTCGGCCAGACAGGCACCTCTGCTGTAATCTAATCGCACCCCTTGAAGCCCAGCCAGCAATCTCCTTCCCTCACCCTGTCACAAATGCCATCACCCTGCACCACCAACTCCCCTCACACGCAGCCCCAGCAGGACCCTGGGACCTGTCTTGGCCACACATCCACAGATGGGCGGGGTCAGCCCTGGTCCGGTGCAGTTCACCAAGGCCAAAATAAGCATGAGACGGGGCCCTACTGGGTAGCTGGCCAGCTACAGAGGGAAGTCATGGCCTGGAGCTTTGCTCTTAGGCAAATCCAGGGTTCCTGGCTACTGCCCTGTGTGGATCTGCCTGTGAAGAGCTACTAGACACAAAAACTAGAGGAAAGAAAGAATGCTTCCTGAAATGCAATGGTGAGCCAAAAAAATGAGAAAAAGTGGAATGAAAACCCACCTGATCATTCAGATTTAAGATCTGACTACCAGGCTGGGCATGTAGCTCAATGTAGAGCACTTGCCAACCATGTGCAAGGTGCTGGGTTCAGTCCCAACACTGCAAAATATAATTAATTCAGTAATTGATTAATTTACAAAATAATGATGATAAACAAAGGTTGGAGTTGTTGCTCAGTGGCAGAATGCTTGCCTAGTATGTGAGAGACCGTAAATTTGATTCCCAGCACTGGAAAAGGGAAAGAAAACACACACAAAAAAAGATCTGACTACCATAGTCTGTAATGAGCAGTGTACCATTATAAACCTGGTATTTAGAAAGCAACAGAAGAGATTTCCTGATGCAGACTTTTTTTTTTGTACCAGTAATCGAACTCAGGACCTTGAACTTGCAAGGCAGGTGCGGTGCCACTGAGCTAAATCCCTGGCCTGATGCAGACTTCTTTAGGGACCAATCCGCTGGCTGAAGTCAGCACCAGCTCCCTCCAACCCAAGTTCTCTTCCTCTGAAGGTCCTGAGATAGGGATTAAAGGGAAATGGGTTTGTGATACTATCCACATTCAACAAATGAACAAAAGCCCATGACCCAAGGTTCTACAGGTAATTAGTGACACAGTTGAGAACTACAATCTGGATGAACTCCTATTACCAGTAACAGGGACTTAGATTTAGCTCAGTGGCTCCACTGCCTGCCTCAAAAGCACAAGGTCCCGAGTTCAATCCCCAGTACCAAAAAAAAAAACAAAAAAAAACCAGTAACCACTTATGAGATAATTAAGAACAACCTCCATTCTACTGAGGTTAGGTGGATAAGCTGCAGAACAAGTGAATTTGTTTTTTGTTTTTGGTGGTACGGGCTTGAACCCAGGGATGCTCTAGCACTGAGTTACATCTCCAGGCCACCTTTTCTGAATTGTCTTTTGTTTTTTTGTACCAGGGACTGAACTCAGGACCTTGCGCTTTTGAGGCAGGTGTCAGAACCACTGAGCTAAATCCCCAGCCCTGAATTGTTTATTTTGAGGCAGGGTCTTGTTAAATTTCCCAGGCTGGCCTAGAACTTGTGATCCTCTTTCCTCAGCCATCCTAGTAGTTGGGATTAAGCACCTGTCACTGTCCCAGCTAAAACAAGCAAATCTTTTTTGGTACCAGCAATCGAACTCAGGACCTTGTTCGAGGCAGGCGGTGGCACCACTGAGCTAAATCCCTGGTCCAAAAACAAGCAAATCTTTAACAAGACAAATGGAGGAAATGCATGAAATTTCCCTGACTATGTAAAGAAGGAGAATATTGTCAAGAACTGTCTTTTACTTTCCTTGGCATATTTAAAATTGGGCAGTTAATGTGGATGGCTCTGGGTTCAATCTCCAATACTAAAAAATAAAATAGGGGAATTGATAGATTCAAAAATACTAGTAAATTTGCCCTGTCTCTCTTCTCAATAAATGTAAGGTAATAGAAGTAAATGACCATGATGATGATTCCTAAATAAGTCTCTCTTTGCCTCAGGTGTGAGATTTGTGACTGAAGCATGCAAAGATAAAATAAGCTGAAAGAAAAATCTACACATGCTTTTGTTAGAAGTGGTTTCTTTGTGAGAATTTGTGGGCCAGCATATATTTTTGAGGAAAAAAAGGGAAGAAATTTAACGTTGTCTATTGTTAGTTTATTTTGTTGTTGTTTATAAATATTTCATTAAGCTTTTAATAAAATTGATGATTCTTCAAAGTAAAAAAAAGACAAAGTAAAAACCTGCTGTCTTAGTTATTTTTCTCATTGCCGAGACAAAATACTCATTGCCCAAAGTTAAGGGAGGAAAGGTTTATTTGGCTCACAGTTTGTCAAGGTTTCAGTCCATAACTGGCTGGCTCCAAGGCAGGGTGGCACAGCAGACAGGCATCACAGAGTAGAAACAGTTCATGGCAGGCAGAAGGTAGCAAAGCAAACAAAGGACCTTAGCAGCTTCTTTCTCCCCTTTTATACTCTAGGTTACTGAGGTTAGGGCAATGCCAAACCAATCTGACTGATTTAGTAATCACACACCCTTAATCCCAGCATCATATACTCTAGATCCAGCCACTTCTGAAAAACCCCCACCTATGACTGCATGAGGGTTTGGAGGGACATCTAGACACAAACCACAACACCTGCTTAAAGACATTAGAGCTCTAATGTCTTTTCAAGGTTGGCCTTGAACTCACTATGTAGCCCAGGCTGGCCTGGAAGTCTTGGTAATCCTCCTGCCTCAGGCTCCCAAGTGGTGGGATTACAGGCATGTGCCACTATGTCTGGTCCCTGAAATTACATTTAAGTGATCCTGAATTTTTAATACCGCAAAAGCCCGGCAGAAGTAAACATATATCTTTTGTGGAGGAATCAGCATTATCTGAAGCTTCAAATTAATTCTGCAACCAAGTTTGCAAACACAATGACCAAAATACAATAAAAAAAAATAAAGCACAAAAGACACAAAACAGTATTTAAAATAGAGAAAGAATGGCCAGGGATTTAGCTCAGTGGCATTCCCACCTGCTCACAAGCACAAGGTCTTGAGTTCGATCCCCAGTACCACAAAAAATAAAATAAAATAGAGAAAGAGAGAGAAGCAGAAAAAACAAATGACAGAAACAGACCCACAGATGGTTTGGCTATTGAAGTAATCAAAGATTTAAAGTAACTATTCTAAGTTCAAGAACATGAAAGATAACACAGAATTTTGGCCAAGAACTTAAAACTATAATTTTAAAAGCCAAATGGAAATTTCATAACTGAAAACTACAACAGTCAGGATTAAGAACTCTGTATTGGTTAGTGTCATCTAAAGGAACAAAAGTGGAGAAAATATACATATAATTATTAGGCTTACATGACAAGAGGCAAGAGAGTACGCAATGGTTGTCTGCATCTTGGAGATACAGAAGATCCAGTAGCTGTTTGGCCCCAAAACATAGAAGCCACAGAACAAAAGGGATTAAGATGCAGTACCTGTCCAAAGTTGAAGTCCTGGAAGCTCACTAGAGTAATAAGTGCAAGTCTGCATAGGGAAGCCAAAGAAACTGAAAGCAGATGTCCAAAGGCAATGGCAGAAAAAAATGTAGCCACCCAACCAGACTACAGCTCATCAAAACAGATGAACTTCTTTCTTTTTCTTTTTTATTCTATCCAGGCTACAAACCTATTGGTTGGTGTCCTCCACAACAGGGGTGGGAGTTCCCCCTCAGTTTGCTGGCCTACATGCCACTCATCTCCACAGACACACCCAAAACTGTGCTTTACTAACATGCTAGGCATTTCTTAATCCAGTCCAGAAGAGAAAGAAATAATACTTGAAGAGATACCCATTAAGAATCTTTCAAGACTGAAGAGAGGTATTCAAGAAGATTCAAGCCGGGGATTTAGCTCAGTGGTTCCAGCGCCTGCCTCACAAACACAAGGTCCCAAGTTCGATCCCCAGTACCAAAAAAAGAAAAAGCAAAAGAAAACCCTAATAGACAACCTCATATTTGGGCCGGGGATTTAGCTCAGTGGTTCTGCCACCTGCCTCGCAAGCGGAAGGACCCAAGTTTGACCCCCCGGTACCAAAAAAAAGAAGATTCAAGAAGTCCTACAAATCCCAAGCAGAATAAATAAAACTAAATAAATAAATAAATAATCCATACCTAGACACAGTACTTTTAAAACCTAAAAGCCTCCTGAAAATCAAAGATAAAGGAAAAAAATTAAAAACAGTTGGGAGCTGAATTATCTTAAAAAAGAACAGGAATTAGACAATTGATTTTCCATCAGCAACAATGGGAACCAGAAGACAATAGGACTGCATTTCCATTTGTTGAAAGAAAAATTGTAATCTGTGTTTGCTCTCTTTTGTGTACTCTTTGCCACACAAGCTTTCCATTTCTTGACAGCTTTTAGAACTGGATGAACTTGAGTTCAAATACTAGTTTACTCTCACTTCGTTGGTGCCCCGTTTTCACTTCCCATATTGGTCCCTCTTCCTAATGGTCTCTTCTCCTTTCTCTAGCAGGTGAACACCTACTTCTATTTCAAGACATAACTCAACTATCACCTCCCCTGTGCCAAAGACAGGGAGGAGCTCTAAAAAACAGATGTCTGAGAAGCTCAGACTGCAAAGTCACGCATGCTCACTTCATATCCTCTAACTGTGTAATCTTTCCCAAGAAGTATTTTGGTCTGTCTCCTGCTGTAACAGAACACTTGAGAGTGGGAAATTTATAAAGAATGAAGTTTTATTCATCTCATGGTTCTAGAGGCCAGGAGGTCCATGTTCAAGAGGCTACACTTAGTGAGGTCCTTCTTCAGCAGAGCCCCCTGATGGTACAGGACATCACATGGTGAGAGGAGCACAAACAACAGAAAGAGTCAAATTGGCTTTTATAACAAACTCATTCTCAAGATTACTCACTGGCCCATTAATCTATAAGTGGATTAATCCTCTCTATGAAGTCAGAGGCCTCATGACCTAATCCCCTCTTAAAGGTCCCATCTCTTAATACCTCAGACCAGGGATTAAATTTCAACCTGAATTTTGGTGGGGACATCAGCCATGGCAAATAGTTTCCTGATCAGAGTACAATGAAACTAAAACTAGTACCTTTTTCATAGAGTGGTCTTGAAAATTATTCGAGAATGGGCCCAGTACACTGGGAGTATACAATAAATGATAATTTACATTTTTAACACAGTACTAATAACCTGGTGTGGCTATGAGTTTTCTGTGAGATGTGACAGATAGTCAGATTGGAATCAGATCACTTGAGGTCAGAGGTTCTCAAAAACAGCAACAATAGTCAACTGATCATGACTGTTCATTATTCTGCCACTCAGCAAACTCTCACCTGAAATCCAGTTTTTGCTCTTATATAACCTAAACAGTAGTCAATGTAGCAGTATGAAATGGTGTATTAGTTAGCTATCACTGTACAAGTTACCTCAAGTCACAGTGGATTAAAAAAACAATGAACATGTATTATCTCATACAGTTTGTTTGATCATTAATGTAGGAGTAGCTCAAGTGTATCATTCTGACAGCCAGGATGTCAGCCCTGTTGTAGTCATTAGAATGTTTAAAACTGGGGCTAGAAGTTCCACTTTCAAGGTTGTTCACATGGTTGAAAGTACATGGTGATTCTTGACAGGAGATTTTAGTTACTTCCCATGGGATCCTCCCCTAAAGGGCTGCTTGAGTGTCCTCACAACTTGGAGGCCAGTTTCTCCCAGAGTGAGTTATCCAAAGAGGGCAAGGAGGAAACCACAGTGTCTTTTATATCAAGTACTTGAAACCAAAGTCATTTTTACAAGACTATTGGTCACTTCTTTGTCTACCCATTGTAGTAGGGGATTGTGAGCATCAGTTCTCCCCCAGTGGCCTCATCCTTCCAGAACACCAGGAATCAAAGACAGCCAGAGTGAAACTGAATTTTTTCTCACACCCAAATAGATGGAACAAAATAACAATGCTGAAAGAGAAAATACAAAAATGGAAAGCAGAAGAGTATGACTGATGAAAGAATAAAGCAATTATAATATTCATACAATAATATCAATAATAGCTATTATTTACTAAATGTTTCCCTTGTACTGGGCAATGGCCAAATCTTCCCATCTCTGGGATTAGAAAACTATTACCTCCCCCTCAAAAAAAAAGAAATTTTAAAAAAAAGAAAACTATTGCCCAAGACCAAATTCGGCCCACTGACTGATTTTATGAATCAAGCCCTGTTGAAACAGCCACGCCCATTCAGACACATAATTTCTATCGCTATTTTAACCTACATCAGCAGAGTTAAGTACCTATGACAAAAATAATATGGTCTATGAACTAACATTAAGACTACTGGGCAGGGGATTTAGCTCAGTGGTTCCGCTGCCTGCCTTGCAAGTGCAAGGTCCCGAGTTTGATCCCTGGTACCCCCCCCCCCAAAAAAAGACTACTAAGACTAAAGACAAGAATAAGACTACAGATTATCGACCAAAGTTAATGATGTCAGCCATATGCCCTTCCTACATGCCCTGCTTCCCTATTGGATCAATATTAGCTAAGCAGCTACACTTGTAATTTTATTGGTTGATTATAATTTGACCACGTTGTATGCATCTTTCGACTTCTTCACCCTATAAAACATTCTCAGAGACATGACCTTGATAGCAATCTACTCAGAACCCCTCTTGTCTCTCAGGAGATATTCCTATTTCCCATTCCTATTCCCCAATAAACCTTTCCTATTCTCTTAAAAAATATATATATATGGTCTATGAAGCCTAAAATATTACTATTTGCTCCTTCACAGAAAGAGTTGTCAACCATGTTCTACCTCAAAAACATCCCCATGCGGTAAGCCATATCACTGTCTTCATTTCATAGATGAAGAAATTGAGAATCGGGTAAGTTCCAACTTGCCCAGATCACATTTTTCATAAGTAGCAGAATAGGATTCACATCCAGGCAGTCTGTCTTCAAGATCTGAGTTGTATCAGGCTAGAAATTAGAAAGGTTGGCTTGTCCTACGAGCTATGTAGCCTTGGGCAATTAATGTCTTACTTCTCATTTTTCACTGCTAGAAAAAGACTTTTAAAATGTCTGTGCAGCTGGGCATGGTGGTGCACACCTGTAATCCCAGCACTCAGGAGGGTGAGGCAGCCTGGGCTACATAGTGAGTTCACGGCCAGCCTGAACTATATAAGCAAGACCTTGTCTCAAAAAAATAAAATAAAATGTCTGTCCAACTACTTAATAGGAAAGTGGAATGATAAATATAAAAGTGAAATGAAAAAAGTAGCAAATGCTTCAACAAAAGGAATTACTAGTTAAATATCCCTCTTCTGAAATATTTAGAACCCGAAGAGTTTCAGATTTTTGGAGTTTTTTGAAATTTGGGAATATTCGCAAAGGCTTTACAGGTTGAACATCCCCATTCCAAAAATTTCAAATCTGAATGGAACAAAGATGCTCAACCTATAGTATTCTTTTTTTTTTTTTTTCTGGTACCTTAGTGTCCTTGCGCTTGCATAGCAGGTGGCGAAACCACTGAGCTAAATTCCCAGCCCAACCTGTATTATTCTTGATGCATGACACTAAGAAAGAAGGAAGAGCTCTAGGAGAGATAATTAGAAGTCTCTCAGTTATCCCTGCAAGATAGACCACCCAAAACTCAGCAACTTAACACAACGACTAATTATAATTCATGATTTTATACATTGGCTGGGTGGTTTCTCAGCTAGTTTCCCATGAGCTCATTTACTGAGCAACACTCAACTACAGCATTGATTTATCAATCAGGGGTGATTCCCACTCCACCCCATCCAGGACATCTGGGAATGCCCAGAACATCATTGGTTGGTACTGCTGGTATCTTTTGGGAGAGGCCAAGGATGCTACAAAACATCCTTTTGCCCACAGAAGCACTGCCACAAGGAATTATCTGGTGCCAAATGTCAATAGTGTCAGAGTTGAGAAACCCAAGCTTAAGGATCAACTGGGGCTGGAAAATTCAGGATGCTGTCACTCACGTATCTGGCAGTTGGTGCTGGCAGTGGGCTGGGGGTCTTGGCTTTCCTCCATGCGGCCTCTCATCTTCCAGCAAGTTAGACTGACTTCCTTCCATCATGGTCTCAGGACAGAGAAGCAAAAGGGCAAAGGTGCATACTGCAGGGCCTCTTGAGATCAGGACTCTGGAAGTCACTCAATGCCATCACATTCTGTTGACCAAAGCAAGTTGCAAGATGAGCCCAGATTTGAAGCCGGGGAGAGCTAGATCTATTCTGCTAGGGAGGGACAGCAAAGTCACATCACAAAAGGGGTGGACACTAGATTGGGAAGAATCTGTGACTATTAAACAATCCCCTACAAGAAGTAAGATTAACTGGGTTGGGGATTTAGCTCAGTAGCACCAGGCCTGCCTTGCAAGCACTGAGTTTGATCTCAGGTACTGAAAAAAAAAAAGAAGTAGGATTAACTATGCTTCATCTGAAGCTTCATTGGTCAGGGGACAGCTCAGCACCAGTGATTCTCAAAGTCTGTCCCCAGGCCTTCATCATGAGGATCACCTATTAGAAATGCAGATTCTCCGCCCCACCCAGTCAACTGAAATAGGAATAGGAGGGAGGCCCACAGTCTGCATGTTAAACCCTCCAGGTGATTCTGATGCACACTCGAGCTTGACAACCAATGGACTAAAGTGAGCCACCAGATCAAAACCTGGACAGGTCTAGAGCCCTGGCATGAGTGTTGGTGGAGGCCAAAACAGTGTATGCAGGCATCCCTCAGTATCTGAGGAAGATTGGCTATAGGTCACCCTCATACCAAAATCTACAGATGCTTAAGTCCCATATATAAAATGGCATAGTATTTTCAGGCAGCCTATGCGCACTCTCTGTGTACTTTAAATCATTTCTAGTTACTTATAATATTTTACACAATGTAAGTGTTATGTAAATAGTTGTTATACTCTATGGTTTAGGGAATAATGACAAGAAAAAAGTCTATATGTTTAAAATAGATGTGTGCTTTTTTTCCAAAATATTTTCAATCTGCTGTTGGTTGAATCTTAGGATACAGAGAGCCAGCTCTACTAACAGAATCATTCAGAATTTTTATCCTCATCCAAGAATTTAAATTTACATCACGTTCAGAAAGTAAAATGTGATTAGTCAGACCTGGTGTCTATAATGCCAGTATTCCAGGAGCCTTAGGCAAGAGAATGGTGAATTTAAATCCAAGCAGGGCAACTTGTTGACTTAGTTAAACTCTGCCTCAAAAAAAATAAAAATAAAAGGGCTTGGGATATAGCTCAATGCAAAGGCCCTGGGTTCAATCACCAGCACTGCAAGAAAAGAAAGTAGAACCCGACTAAAGCACTGCTGGTGACTACTAGCTGAAAGGACACAGAAAGCAATAAAAACTTCTTCTTTCAACACCACCCTCCTCTGAAGTTTTCCAACCAAGTCAGAGGTACATGCATCAGGTTCCCAAGCTGCCTTTGAGTCTCCTCTAAGAACCATGCCTTTGGCTGTTTCTGTGTAGGTGTCTTCTTCCTGTTATTGTTGTCATCATTGTTTTCTGGAAATTACTGAAACATCTTTCAGCGTGGAGGCCATCTGCTGATAATGCTCTCAGGCTGGTTCTCAGCATGAAACATTCAAGCACCAGGCTGTCTCTGGGCACTGAGGAACCTGAGAGGTGAAAAGCTACTGTCAGCAGGATGGCACTCAAGGACTCTAACTCCTCTCCCAACCCTCGAAGGGGGAAGCCCCCCAAGCTCCCCAGGCAGGAGGGAGCCTTCCCCTGGTGATGGAGATGATCTTGACTAGATTCATGATAAACTATGCAGTCTTCCAAAAGGCCTCTGTCACTGTTTAGCACAAAATGGCTCAGCAGCCTGATGCACTCACTAACTCCAGCACAGATACTAAATAGGCCACTCCTAAAATCTTTCATGGGCCACAGATTTGAGAGAAGAAGAAAAACTATATTGCCATTAAAGTAAGGCTTTCTGGTCGTGGGCTCTAACTTTGCATAGTAAAGACTGGGGTAAGTAAGCAAGAGGCAGGACATTAAGAACCCATTGTTGAGGTGGCCCCATGGGGATTTAGGAACTGGATGGCAATTTAGGAAGACAAGTTTCCAAACAGGAGCCAAGACGCTGAGAACAGCACAAATCAGTATGGAGAGAGCAGAGTGCCAAATCTCAACTATTTTGTCTTATTTTATGCATTGAGATTCCACATTTAAATATCATTTTCAATAAGGGTTTCATTGCTTTAAAAAAATTGAAAGCAGCTGAGCTGAATGACTGCTCAGAATCCTCCCAATGTTCAAATCCTAAGGTACTGTGCATTCAGTATGGGGGTGCCTAAAATATTCAACAATGCCTGTGATGGTTAATTGTGATATATCCACTTGAGTAAGAATCACCTAGCAGATTAGCTAAAATGTGGATGTATCTGTTGATGATTGACAGGTAGGCCACAACTGAGGTAGGAAGAGCCATCCCAGATATGGGTGGCACCAACCAATAAATAGGCTTGTAAGCCTGGACAGAATAAAAAGGGAATGAAGAAGGAAGTCTCTTTTTCTTCTTTGGAGGAGCTCCAGTCTTCAACATTGCCTTTGGACAGTCACATCCAGTTCCTTCAGGCTTCCAGTGCAGACTCTTCAGAGCTTTCTGGCGTGGACTCTGCAGTGAGCTCCAGGCCTTCAAACTTCAACTGGAGCCTCTGGCCCTTATGCATGGAGATGGCCACTTTCATTCTTCCACCCCAGAGCTGGAGATTTAGCTCAGTGATTCCGCTACCTCCCTTGCAAGCGCAAGGTCCCGAGTTCAATCCCCAGTACCAAAACCAAACAAAAAAAAACACAGAAGCTTGAAAAGAGACATGAGTGACATATCATTCTTCCTCCCCTGATTCAGCAGGAAGCCATTGTAAGTCTACCTAGTAAATGCTTTATATAATCATATATATATATATATATATACACACACACACACGTAATTTGTTCTTATTAATGACTCCTAGTCATTAATAATACTTAAACCATAATCATCTTCCTTATAATAATCTATTACCCTAACGTAAATAACCCAACATCAGCACTAGTTTTCGCCTTCCATGCAAAAATTTAAGTTTGTCTTCTTTGGTTTGAACAGGATGACAGAAGCTGTTTCATTACTGACCTTTCACTCCTCATTGCTAGGAGAAAATGGTGATGACATCTTTTTGGCCAGATGGAACTGATGGAAGATTTATGGAGCAGCTGAGAACTGTCAAAGCCAGGCCCGACAGATCCTCTAAGACAATGACCACAGCCTTTTCATCAGGGAGCACATTGCTTTCTGGAATCTACTAACATGAGAGTCCTATCTACTCAGCCATCAGTGCGGTTATCCCAACACCCACCAGCTGCTGCCACCCAATCTGGAAGCCTCCGCTTCTGCTCCTGAAGGACAGCATGTGACACACAGGAGTCTCAGCCTTCACCACCCCCCAGTCTGGCACCCATGGCCTCCCAGAGCGGGAAACTCCATCCAATGCCTGCTCAGTCACAGGGATTTCAGAAATTAGTCACAGGAAGGAAGGAAGGCAGAGCGTGGAGGGTTCCTGAAGGAACGGGTAACAAGATCTGGGGTCCTTCACCTCAAGGTCACAGCAGCTCAGACTGTCCCTGAGTTACCGATGAGTGGTCAAGATGCAATCAGCGCCTCAACCCTCTTCAGACTCACCACCCTCTACTCTACAAAGAGCTTCTGGGAGGTGGGGACTCCCACAAGGGCAGGATGCCCTCATGGGTGATTTGGATCCATTTCCCTTCCCACCTCCTCTGGTCCAGCAATCACCAATCCAGACAGACAAAAGGGTAGCCTGGAGCCTGGGGTCCATTGTTTGTTTGAGACAAGGGCCTGGACTGGCTTCAGTCCTCATGTTGTGAGTCATCTACCAGTAAGGCACAAAGTGGGACACTCTAAGGCTCTGGTGGCCACATGTCCTAATCAGCATGGAACAGTCCCCTCTGTACTCCTGTTGTCCCAGCATTGTTACTAATATCACCACCTTTCATTCCCAAATGTTCCCTTGTGGATAATAAACCTTAAGTCATTCTACGTTTTTCAAAAAGAATCTGAAAACCCCAGTAATCTTGCAAGCCAAGGGAAGTAGGAGGTGGGAGATTTTATTTTTATTTTTATTTCTTTGTTTGAGAAGGAGTCTCCATATGTTATACAAAGTTGATGTCAACTGAGCAAAGTTGATGTGAAGATTTTTTTAAAAGACAAGAGCAAGAATGTTCATTAGATGGCCAGGGATTTAGCTCAGTGGTTCCGCCCCCTGCCTCGCAAGTGCAAGGACCCAAGTTCGACCCCTGGTACCAAAAAAAAAAAGACTGTTCATTAGTCTATAACAAGGGAAGCCTGGAAACAAATCAAATGTCCATCAATAGGAATTGTTTAATGAATTATGCCTTATCAATATGGAATACTTTGCATCCATCTAAAAGAAAAAAGGAGATCTATACGTATTGATGAGGGACCACTCCCAAGGCAGACTGGTAAGAGAAAAAACAAAATGCAGATTAGTGCAAAATGAATGACCTCAGTTATCATTTCTTTGTAGCTGTATATGGAGAGAGATTTAGACTTCACTGTTGAATAGAAATATGTTAGCTACATATGTAATCTAAAATTTTCTAGTATCCATATTTTTACAAAAAGGAATTTATTTTGTTACCCAGTGTATCTGTAATATTATATCAATTGGACTGGAGATACAGTTCACTGATAGGATATGTATTTTTGTTTGTTTGTTTGTTTTTGGTACCAGGGATTCTTTCAAGGCAGGAGGCAGAACCACTGAGCTAAATCCCCAGCCCTGGTAGGATATGTATTTAGCATGCATGAGGCATTTTCTCAGCACCAAAAATCAAATAAAATATTATTTAAATAAATATAGAAAATTAATAAGCTATTTTACATTTTTTTCATGATAAGTCCCCCAAAGTTTCCTACAGTGACCTCAATTAATACTAGCTACATATCCCAGGCTTTAATAGCCACATGTAGTTTATGGTCACCTCAAAGGCACAAAGTTAGAAGGACCCATCTCAAAAAGTAGCAAAGATTATCTCCAGAGAGTGAAGTAGGATTAGGGAAACAGAGCAATCTGTTCAGAGTTTGAAATGTTTACAGTGAGAATGCATTCACTGCTTAACGTACTAGAAAATAAGGAAAACCTTAAATGTTTAAAAATAAGGAATGAGAATATAAGGCAATAAATTAAGAAAGTCTACAAGGGGCTATGAGGAAACAGTATCAGATTCATCTGCCAAAGAGTGTTTGCGGGGTGCGTGTGTGTGTGTGTGTGTGTGTGCGTGTGTGTGTGTAGAGTGGGGGATTGAACCCATGGCTCCTCTCCCTTGAAATTCCTTTAAGTTTGAGCCCTTCTACCGAAGACCCTGTCCCTGAGGCCAGGCTCCAGGTGTGCACTGGCTGCCCAGCATGCTTCCTAAAGACAGCCTCACTTGGTTTCCCTTCCAGAAACCGGAAGCCCTGACAGCTTCTCAAGGAGCAGCCTTCAGAATGTCATCTCCGGAAGACAGAGCAGTGCTTTCACTCACTCACACTGAAGTTGTGTCAAAGTACAGACCAGAAAACCAGCACCATCAAAGTAGCCTAGAAGGTTATTTTAAAATACAGACACCTGAGTCCCACTAAATAAGAATTTCTGAAGGAAGGAGTGGCAAGAATCCACACGGAAAAAGAACTCCGCGTGATTTTTTTTTTCAACACTAGGGATTAAACCAGGCCCCTTTGCACTGAGCTACATCCCACCTCACCCTCTTTTTTTGGACAGGGGAAGCCTACATTCTCTTTCAAAATGATGCTTAAATGTCCCACAACTAAAAAGCAAACCACCCCTTGTCAATGCTGTCTTCTCCGGAGTTATCTTTTCTTTTTTTTCTTTCTTTTTTTTGACAGAGTGCCCATTTCTAACCCTCCAAGTCACAGAAAGCCAGGCTGATGGAGCAAAGCCATGCTCAGCCTATTACTGTTGGGAACCTGCAAGATGTTTCTTTCTGTCTCCACCATCCCAGAGATGACACTGGGACATCTGAGTAGAAGGCCTTCCCTTAAGGTGAGATCTTGTATCTATTTAGTACTGCATTTTTTTCTTTTGTCTTTTTAAATAAAGCAAAAATCCAATTTACTGTTTAAAGGGATAGGAAGAGCTAGGGGTGTAGCTCAGTGGTTAGAGCACTTGCCTAGCATGTCTGAGGCCCTGAATCCCCAGCGCTGTCAAAATAAATGATAGATGATACAAAGATAGATAGATAGATAGATAGCAATTTCTTTTTTTAGTTTAATTTTGATTTTTAGAAAGGGTCTTGTAGTTGGGGCTTGCCTTGAACTCACTATGTAGCCCATGCTGGCCTCCAACTTGTGAGGATCCTCCTGCCTCAGCCTTCTGAGTGCTAGTATTACAGGCGTGTGCCACCATGCCAGGCTTATTCCTTAACTTCTTTTTTGTTTTGTTTTGAGACAGTGTATTGCTATGTAATTCAGGCTGGCCTTGAACTCACAGCCATCCTCCTACCTCAGCCACATGAGTGCTAAGATTGCAGGTGTGTCCCACCATGCCTGGCTAGATGGCAATTTCTTAAAAGAATATACTCTCAATGGTAAAAAATTATTTACATGTGTATAACATCTTTCATATACATTGATCCCTCTTAACATCTCAACATCTGTAATTAGCCCCATGTACAAAAAAAAAGACAGAAGGCCTCGAGCTATGTACTTTATTCAGGTGATCAAGGTAATTTTACCAACTACTATACTGAGAAGTTGATATTGTTACTCTTCTCATTGCTATTAATATTATTTTTAATTGGCAAATCATAATGGTACATTTGTACAGGATACAGTGTAATAGGTTTGGGTGGGATTGTTTTCTGCTGCTGGGAATTTAACCTAGGGGCATTCTACCATTGAGCTATATCTCCAGCCCTTTTTATTTTTTGAGATAGTGCCTCCATAAATTGCCCAGGCTGGCCTCAAACTTACCATCCTCCTGCCTCAGTCTTCTGAGTACCTGGGATTACAGGCATGCAACACCACACCCAACCCAGGTGATGTTCTAATGTGGAATAATTAAGTCAAACTGATTAGCATATCCAACAGGATGCTCACCTATCATCTTTTATGCTGACACTTGAAATGCCCGTAGTTATTCTGACATACATAATGCATTACTGTTGACCACACTCGTGACTCCTTTCCTGGGAAACTTTGTGCCCTTTGATCAACAACTCCCCTGCCCAGTTTCACAAGAGGACAGAGGGGGTTAATTTCTCACCAAGCTCCCCTGGCTTCTCCCGGGTGCTCTTCCTCATCCCCATCCTATGCACACACACACACACACACACACACACACACACACACACACACACACACACCCTGCTTCACAGGAGATGCCCTGCCACACAATGATTTACTGCTAACCGTCTGCACTCAGCCACATTTCACTGATTAAAAGCAAGCCACTCTCACCATTTAAAGAGATGAATGTTTTCATCAAACCTAAATGCCCTCTAATAATCTCCTGCCCATTCTCCTTCCCTGACACCTGGCCACTGTCACTCTACATATGATGAGAGGAAGAGAGAGAAGAGATCAGTTTTCCCTCTCCCAGCACCTGGAACACCCCTCAGCAGGCAGGCTGGGCATGTTGCTGCCCCTAAAGTCAGTCCGCACGCCCCAGCCTGGATTATTTCAGTATTTCTCCTCTCGGTCTGTCTCTTTCTCCTAGGTCTCTCTCCTATCTCTCCCTCTGCCTGTCCCCCTCTCTCTTCCTCATCCCCCTCTGCTCTTTCACTTCCTCACTTTCCCTGTTCTCTAGAAGAAGCCACCAGCAGCCCAGAAAGTGGGCAAAAGGCAGCACAGGCCAGCAATCCCAGGCCTTGGCAGTGGCAGCCTCCCAAGGGGGAAGGTCAAGGTGAGGCACAGGGCTGGGAACATCCAGCTGGGACCAAGCCCCACAGGCAGCGGGCCAGGGTGCAGGCAAGTTAACGATCTGTCCAGATGCGCCCAGTTGTGGAAAATCTGCTAGTGCCGCTCTGCCTGATGCTCTTCACAGGGAGAAGCAGCTTCTGGAGCTCAGGAAGATGCATCAAGCTCACAAGGGAAACTAGAGAAGACACGCACACAGGCTCCGGCACCGTCCTTCCTCTGCTAGCTTAGCGGAGGATGCTGCCAGAGAGGGGGAAAGGGCAGCTCTGCCCCAGCTGAAATGCTGAAATGTTTACAGTGCCCACCAGCCCCACAGCTTTCCCTCCTGCTGCCTGAACTCCCACATGCAATATCCCTTAGTTGTCTGCTGACTGCTTCTCTTCCCTGAGGCCCCCACCCACCCAGCCCCGGAAGGAGAGACAAGCAAAGGAACTTGAACAGGGCTGACTGAAAGCCGAAGTCACAACTACAGAAACAAACAAACAATCCTTTCCTGTCCTGGCTACTTGGGAGGTTGAAACAGGAGGATCATTTGAGCCCAAGAGTTCAGAGCCAGCCTGGGCAACCCAGCAGAGGGCCTGACTCTTAAGAATTAAAAAAATAAAATGGTGGCACAGGCCTGTAATTACTCCAGGAGGCTGAGGCAAGAGGATAGAGAGTTCAAACTCAGCCCTGGCAACTTAGCAAGACCTTGTCATAATAAGAAAAAATAAGAGCCAGGGATTTAGCTCAGTGGTTTCACCACCTGCTGTGCAAGCGCAAGGACCCAAGTTCGATCCCGGTACCAAAAAAAAAAAAAAAAAAGAAAAGAAAAAAGAAAAAGAGATGGGGATGTAGCTCAGTGTAAATGTCCTGGGGTCAATACCCATACTGGGGGAGGGGGGGGGAGAGAGAGAGAGAGAGAGAGAGGAGAGAAAGAAAGAAGAAAGATAGTTGTAGCAACAAAAAGGTAACACTTCCCCTGCTCTGCATCCCACATTCTCCAGTTTCTCTCCAGCCTGCAATCCTTGCCAATACCACTCTAGAAGTTTTTAACATGAGCAGTGAGGGTACAAAAAGAGAAAATTCTAAGGTCCCCCGATCACCTCATTATTTGGCTATTTGCAGTTGTGGACCTCAGAGGTAGGGGGCAAGGGAGCTAAAATTAAAACCAAAATAAAGACCCTGTCCAGGTGAAAGGAAAGCATAAGATAACCTTGGATCAACTTCCTAAAGCCAGCATCTCTGCTCTTGCTCCAGGAACAGCCTTTTCCTCTCGAATTGGAACAATACTCTCACCAATAATGCTACCAGCATTCGAGTTTAGTGAGCACCTACCAAGAGAAAACAGTACCTTAATCTATTTTGCTTGGTCTGAGTTCTGGTAATCAGTCACTGCAAACTCAATGATACAAAGACAATCATCTCACTATGTGCACTCACTAGGTGCACTGGCTGCACAGGCTGGACAGTTGGACCCAATAGGAATGGCTGACCCATCTCTGCACCTTGAAGTGTGGGATTTCAGCCATGACAGTAGGACCTGCTGGTGCTGGAGGCTTAGTCACCTCCATGTATAGCACCTAAGCTGGACTGAGCAGAGGGCTGGTTCCCCTGGAACTGTCAACCAGGGTTCCTGCATATGGCCTCTTAGGTGACTAGAGCTCCCTCACAGCATGTGGCCTCCAGGCCACACTGTGGTGGCTCAGACCCCCAAGAGCAAGTGCTCCAGCCAAAAAAGAAAAAGAAAGAAAGAAACTAAGTGGCTTTTCTTTTCATCACATGGAGCTACTTCTGTGGTACTCTGTTGGTTGAAGCAATAGCAAAAGTATTAGATTCAAAGGGCAAGGATGTAGACCCCAGAGTGTCAGTGAATCTGAAGCTATATTTTACATTATTTTGCTTAATTCTCACAAATTACCTTTTGTAATAATTAGGAAAATTATTCCTTTTTACAGATGAGAAACACGGAGGTTCCAGGAGGTTCCAGAATCCTCTGCAGGAGCGCACGGCCCTACTCTAGAGCCTGAGCTGCACCAGAGCTTCTGCTCCTCCCCTGCTCTCCTTTCTTCTGGATGCTCCCCGGATTCCTTCTCCTCTTTCTGTTGGTTTACCTACCTGCACACCTCCTACCCTGAGAGCAGCCACTGACATGCCTTCTGCTCCATCTCCATCATCCCTGGGCCTGGGATGAAAATTTCAAAACCGGTGCCCCCACGCACGCACGCACGCACGCACGCATGCACGTGCAGACGCAAACACGCACGCAGGCGCAGATGCACACATGGCCGCCATCAGGGCAGACCAATCTCTAATGTCAGCCGATCTCTTATGCTGTCCTAGTCCAGAGCAGTCATGGCCTCTGTCCTGTGGATCCCCTGCTGGGATGGTTGTCAGGCCTGATGCTTACAGTCTTTGCTCTGCCATTGCCACATACAGAGGCAGTTCTAATTAGCAACCAACACCCCCCACTCTGTGTATGAGTTTCCTCTTTAGACATTATCATCAGGTGCCTTACAATAAAAAATAAAGGTTTTAGGAAGACAAATGGGAAAATTTTTTTTATTGCAACAGATAATAAAATGGCAAAGAATTAACTAATACAAAAAGAGACCACAAAAATTAATTTAAAAACTAAGATGTCACTAGGTAAGATGCAAATAGGTAATGCATCTTAAAAAGAAAAACACATCTGGGTGTGTTGGCTGAGGCAAGAGGATTACCACAAGCTTGAGGCCAGCCTGGGCTACATAATGAGACCCTGTCTCAAAAAAACAAAAATAGGGTCAGGGCTTTAGCTTAGTAGCACTGCTCCTGCCTTGCAATTACAAGGTCCTGAGTTCAATCCCCGGTACCAACAATTAATTAATTAATTAAGGAGAAAAACACAAGTGAATCACTTGAAAGTAATCAAAATAATTAAAATAATCATATGCTATCTTCACCTTAAATTTTGCTAAGAGGTTTGTTTGCTAAGACTTTTTAAGATAAGAATTCTCAAATTGCAGAAGCATGTCTAAAATTATATTCATATTTCACTCATTTTCCAAAAGGAAACTGGTTCTCTCTGAACTGCAGTAATCAAGAAAGACTGCCTGGAAGAGGTGGGGCAGCCTCTGGGACTTTGAAAGGGGGCAGGTCTCCAAGTCCTTTTGCATTTACATTATGCAGGGTTTTAAAACACAGAATTCAGGAGTGAGGGTGCAGCTCAGTGATGGAGCTTGTACCTAGCATTCAAGAGGTCCTGGGCTCTGAATTTCTTTTCTTGCCTAACATGCCTGAGATCCTAGATTCAATCCCCAGCATGGCAAAGGGGGGGGGGGGGGATGAATTGTACATTTCAAAGAGCTGGACTAAAAGATATAGAAAGCTTTCACCATAAGGAAATGACAAGTATTTGGGGAGATAGATTTGTTTAACCTGATTTAAACCTTACACAGTTATTATAGGCCCCATTAATATGTATGATTTTTAGGTTTCGTGTATCACATAAAGATAAATTTAATAATAAATAATTTTAAAAGAATGAAACAAAAATGCAAACCACAGGCTCCATTAACCACGAAGAAATGGGCATTTCACAAAGAGACCAGTCAAAAAGCCAAAGAGTATTTGAAAAGGTGTTTGAGTCATTAGTCATTAGAAAGAGGCAAAACAAAACCACAGAGAGATATCCCTACACCCCCACCAGAACCGCTTTAATTTTGAAACTCACATTACCAAGTGTTGGCAAGGATGTAGAAAACTGCAATTCTCATATACTGCCCAAATGAGTGTGAATTTGTTCAGCCAATCTGGAAAACTGTTGAGTAGGATCTACAGATGCTTAATCTGTGAATATCCTGTAGCCCAGCAAGCCCACTCTTAGACATTTACCCATTAGAAATGTGTATAGAGGCACTCACTATCCCCAACAGTCAAAAACTGGACACTGTGCAGGAGGCTCTGGATTCAACCCTCAGCAACAAAGCAAAACCCAAACAAAGAAAAACTGCAAACTCTGCACATGTGCACCAAGTGAGTCTTTACCTGAAATGCTTCAGATTTCAGATTTTTTTTTTCAGTTTTGGAACATGCGCATCTATATTTCGAGGATGAGATGCAAGTCCTAACAAAATTCATTTATGTTTCATAGTCACATAATTTCACACAATATTTTTATTGCATTTGTGCTTTTTTCTCAACGCCCCTCACCAATCCACTCACTGAACCCAGGGCCTGGTACATGCTAGGCAAGCATTCACCACTAAGCTACACTCCCAGCTCCCTACTTGCATTTGTTTGCAACTTGTCATATGAGGTCAAGTTAGGATTCTTCCACTGTGGCATCATGTTGGTGCTCAAAATGCTTCACATTTTGGAGCATTTTAGATTTCAGGTCAAAGATGTTCAATTTGTAATATAGTAATACAATAAAATGTTACACAGCAATGAAAAGGAGCTAAGTACAACTACAATGTATCTCACCAACATTTAAAAGGTGTCAAACAGTCTGATTAGATATAAAGTTCAAAAACAGGAAAAACTAATCTATGTTAGAAATCAGAATCAATCACGCTCCCCTGGAGGAAAATGGAGCTCATGAGCTTTCTAGATGCTGATAACGTTCTGTTTCTTGAACTGTGTCCTAGCTACACAGCTGTGTTCAGATAGTGAAAATTCGCAGGGTTTCACAATTTCATTTTGTGTACTTTTGTGTTATGCTCAAGTAAAAGTTCCTGAAAACCAGAAAGCCTGAAAAGCTGTATTCAGAGAGGGGGAAATAGTGTACTGCTAGACTCCAGGGGACCTCAGAGACAGTCTGCAGCTAAAGGAAACTTATTTTATCCTAAGTAGCATCTCCCAGAATCACTGCTGCACTCACATTCAGGATTGGGCTAAGAGTTGTTCCCAGTATTTCCTGTTCCCACTTCACCTCTTGCTACTTCTCCTGAGCTGAGAGTACCCTCTTTCCCTTAAGAAAAAGGCCGAGGGTCCTATAGGATGACTGACACATCTAGGGAGAAGGGAATGGAGGGGCCACCGTAAAACCCCCTTGGCTGGTCTCCTCACTCTCCATCTCTCACCCCATATATCTTGTTAGAAGGAAAGAAGTCAAGTACCCTGGGCTCCTTCTTTTTTTTCTTTTCTTTTTTTTGGTACTGGGGATCGAATGGGGATCGAACTCAGTTCGAGACCTTGCACTTTTGAGGCAGGCGGCGGAACCACTGAGCTAAATCCCTGGCCCTCCTGGGCTCCTTCTGACAAAGTATTCTCTCACAGGCAGACTACTTGAGGGCTCTGCCCTAGAGGAGTGGAGATGGGGTCCTCTCTCTCCATGAAGATCACACCCACATCTGCCCAGGACTAAACGACCAGATCAGAGTAACAGAAGAAGCCATCGGATGAAACACATTCAGCCCTTGGATCAGAGCAGAATGGCAGTGTCCAGCTCACATTCTGCACAGCACAGCACAGGGTAGTATGGCCCAGGGCACTCGAAAGCACAGTTTACACCGTGCTCCTCCTCCTCCACCCTCTGGGTGTTGCTAATAGTCAAATTCCTTTGGAAAGGCCACAAGTAGGAAGATCTAAAGAACAAGAAAACTCAGAATGCCTCTTCCTCAACAGGAAGAGGCATTTACCCTGACTTTATGTCCTAATGAAAATTTCTACTTTCAATAAATAAACCCTAAGAAAGGAGAAGTCAAATTTTCCCAAGGTCTGGCTTTTCCCCAGGCTGTGTATGGTGGGTGGTCCTCTCTCAGCAGTGGAGTAATCCTGAATGATCCCTGGCAATTCAAAGGGAGCAAGTCTGTATAGAAGCCAAGAAGTAATTTTCTCCCTCTAGCCTCCCAGCCCTGTGAAGCTGGAAATCAGGGGAGGCTAACTTGTGTTATTTAGAGGTTTGGTGGGTTTGGTGTAGTTAAGGGTAGGAGGGAAGAGAGGGTTAAGAGTTTTCATTATTGTAATTTTGTTTATTTTTTTAAAATTGTACGCACCTGACTCAAATGAGAAAAAGAAAAATGAGATGCTCGTAACAGTGCCTACAGATGAGAGGAGACCCTGGGTCTAAGGGTGGTCAGATGCTGAAAACACTTGGGTGCAGGGCCTGGCCTGCAGAACTCCACCAAGGATTCAACAAAGACAGGGAAGCCCAGGCCTGCCACAGGGCCTTTGCTAAGGCTGCAAGACCACCAGAGGTTGCACTACTTTCCGAGGCCCTGCCATTGGCTCTCCTGGGTCAGCTCCAACTCCAGCTGGCTACAGGCTGGTAGAATGGATCTGCTGTAGGCTGGGACGAAGACATCCGGCTGCACTCGAGATCGCCCTAACCCTCAGGGCTCAGGAGCTCCCTCTTCAACCCAGCACCTGCCACCTGGAGCTTAGCCAAACTTTGTGTTACGGTGAGGAGGAAGTAACCTCCGGCCAGGCAGGGTTTTCTAACATCCAAGCGGCCCTCTCCGAAGGCAGTAAGCCCGGTTTTCCTCAGCACAGAGAAGCCAGGTGGCCGGCTTAGCCGCCAAAACTCTGGACTATTTCTAAGGTTAGAAAAAAGGCGCTCGCCTGAGTCACAAACACCCGCAAGATGCCCCCGACGGGCCCAGCACCCTCACCCTGCCCCCAGCCTCTTGGCCTGGTCTCCAAGACCCCAAAGAGCCAGCGGGACTGAGCGCCCGAGGGCGCCGCGCGTGACCCCGAGCGGAAGGGCCCCAGTCTGGGTCCTAATGCGGGTGGCGTCTCCCTTGACAGACGGCGTTTGGGGACAACAGCGGGGACGGGAGATAAGGTGACATACCAGAGCAGATTTGGTGTGCGCGCTGATACTCCTCGCCCCACAGGAAACGCGGAGCTATTTAAAAGACCCTATCGATTACTTTATCTCTCCCGGAGGAAAGCTTCTTGCCGAGAGACAAAAGATGTCCCCTACCTAGAGATACAGACCACACAACAGAAAGTCTGCACAGGCGACGCCCAGTGAGGGCGCCGGGATCGCACAGACGCGTTTACACCGCGAGCGCAGAAACGCGTGTGTTCCCGGGACTACCCGTCGCGGGCCCGCGGGCACAGAGACCGCGGAGAGGCGGAGAGAACGGAGACTGGAATCAGCGTCCCGGGTCATCTCTGTGCCCTTGAGCAATGCTTTGGCCCCGTGCACATAAAACACACACAGACAAAAGTGTGCGCTTAAGGCACACGTGTGTGTTCCCCGTCCTCTCGGCACGTTTAAAGCACACCAGTGTACACATTCGCCGAGGGTACCGATCGCCGCGGTTGTACCCATCTGAAACCGCTGGCTTGTGCTCCTTTTAAGGCTTGGATGTCTACCACTGTCCCGAGCGCCCTGAGAAGTTGGATGGGGCAACCTTTCCGCTGTGCTCATTTCGCGCTTGAATTACCGCACTTCTCCAACGCAAACGGGGCGCAGAGTGCACTCAGCGAAGTCTCTCGTCCCCTCGCGGATCCTAAGTGTGCCCGGGAGCCCTGGAGCTCGTCGTCCCGGGTCCCCTGCGCCCTGCCTACTTCGGGGA